CCAGGAATTGTTAACATCACACGTTAGCTGGCCGTGTTAGAAAACCATTAGCGTGCTCAACCCCAACCAGCTAATCCCCTTTCACAATGATCCATGCAGTTAAGCCGATGTTCCAGGCCTGGTTAGCTTCCCAGTTCTGACAGCCAAATGGTTAATCTATCGAAATGTAGTGGAAGAACTTAAGGGCGAAGAATGTGAAGGGATGCTTGCATTCTGCTGCGGGATACATCAAAGATCTTCAAAACTGGCAGATATCCCTGGTCGTTATCTATGTATTCTCGTGAATTCGGTAGACGCTGAACAATGCCTTAGGGGTTATATGATTCTATGATCGCTACCTGGGAAACGAGACAATACATCAACAGATGTGGTGTGCACGTCTTTTTGTCCAGGACGTCCCAATATGAGATTTAACATATTGTTTGTCCTAGTAGGTTTTGGAATCAATTGAGTCCATCCTTGGGCCCGGACTTCGGAGGAAAACTCAAAAGCATTCGTCGTGCTGTATGCTTTGGCCTTGAAATCTCTGGTTAATTAAAGTCACCTCCAATTAACTTTCGACTGAAGGGAAGCTCAGAAGCTAATTCAAAAGCAGAAATGAGATGTTCTACACGTAACGTGTCATAACGGCGTGGATGGTAAATACATTCAACCAGAATTAGGGAGCAATTCATTTCAAAAGAGATCCACAAGGATTCATTTATTATACTGAGTTTCGGGTCTACTATTAATTAAGTACGGAGTTGGCGCCGTGCAAAATAGCGTAACCGCCTCCCTTACTAACTGTTTGGCTGTTCATAAATGATGAATAGCCCACTATTTGGTAGAACTCAGTTGGTGTGTGGGGGTCATGCCAGGTTTCAGTAATCAGTAGCGAATCAAGAGTTGAGACAGTAAGTAAATGGCGCAGGATTTGTAATTTATTACATAGAGTGTGTGCATTGGTAAGAAACAACTTGACAGCGTCTTGCTGATGTGGCAGAGGTAGCAGTTCGTTGAGGAAAATGCGTATGGAACTGCTGCTGCATGCCTCGATATCCATGGTGATGGTTTTGCTGGTGTAGATGGTAAAACCAGAGAACTGAGGTAACAGTAAGACTGGCATATTTGTGCCAGATTTGAACGTGGACTTCACCACACCAGATCTACCAAACTCATGCGTAAGCCGCAGGTTAGTCATCCAATTTCTGCACCTATTTAAATGCGAAGAAAAAAATCCTTTAGCAGGTCTTAATCCTTTCACTCTTAACGCCGCCGATTAGGTTGCACAATCTATCGTTAGCAACGTCAAACTACATTCCAACGATCCAAGCGGAATTGAGAGCATTTAGGAATCATTGATGCTCATACTTCTACAAGACGTGTTTTGTGAACATTGGCATTAGTGCAGATTCGATAAACGTGCAAAGTGCTAACACATCAGTAAAGGCTGGCATCAGTCCCCATACCACGGTTGAAACTGGTAAGCGTCCAAAAACAGCAAGTGCGTCTGTACCTAGCCTCAGCGAACGTGCGCTGTAAACCACCAGCGTAATGAGTACACAATTACACAGACAAATACCTATGTAGTAGCGTCGTCAATGCTTGATGTACCAGGCGGATTGCGCCCACCGACGTTTTCATCGGTGTCCACGGTACGTGACCAGTATCACACGCAAGCGCAGGCGCTCATAGCTCCTTCTGTACGCAGTAATTCTGTGGAATAAGGCCCACCTTAGACCAAGAGCCATCGTGTCTTATGAGGACTTTAGCGAGAAACCTACATTAAGGGTCACGCAAATGTAAGATACACGGGCGTGGTCAGCGTTACATGGGCGATAGTTAAGGCCTGGCTACACGGATCTCAGCCACCCACTCGTATGCGTGCGTAATGTGTCCGCACACGTGACAAGACGGAGTGTAAGCGGCAGCTACTGGCTTACTAACTGGCCAAAATCATTAAGCGTGAGACATAGACGCAGGGCGAAGTAGGCACATTTCCGGCGTCAGTGCGATTGCAAAAGTGATAGAGAAAATTTTCTTAACACGAGGACAACGCAGCAGTAACTAAGGGACGAGAAGAGGTCGGTTGAGATCGAAATCAAACGGCATCACAAAGAGGACTTGAGTTGGCAAACGAGATTTTTATTTGAATCGGGGAAACGAGAATAGTGTGAAGGCCCAGAACGAATATTGCTGACTTGGCATTCCAAAATGCTCTCTGCAAGTGGACGATTCGTTACTTTAATTAAATGCCTCCTCAAGCTATTTGGACCAGAATCTCGCTAATCTAGAGGTGCAACTACGCAACCAAGTATTCTCAGAATCGAGTTGTTACCAACATAAAGAAGCAAATGACGGTTATGTGTTTAAACTAAAATTTTACTTTCTTCTAGGAAATATCGCACCGGTGATGGTTCCTGTGTTATATTTGTAAGTTGCCCCACACTAATCACACAGGTCAAATCTGACCGAGATAGAGAGAACGGCTCCCTGGCACAACAACTCTGGGCTGGATGAGACTAATGATTGGTGTTTGATTGCAGCCACACAAATTCCTTAAAAATGAAATGTTAGTCCGTCGGTTTTGCATTTTCCACCTCAGTGTGCAAGTACATTCAAACAGAAACATCTAACGCACTAAGACAGTTGTGTGAAAAATAGTTAGATTACACCCCGTTCGTCCCGTGGTTTTTGCACTGTGATATCTGGGGGCAACCGTTCACCAGAAACAAGAGTAAGCTAGGTAGACAGCAGGTGACGGGATGTTTGTTTATCTATGCTAGAGAGAAGAAGTGCAGCAACAAGCCGAATTAGTAGTGTGGCATTGAGAGCACATTTGGATAGACGAAGCAACTGATATGGGGCAATATTTTAAATGCTGTTCTAATGTTGGTCTAATGATGCTCCGTCACTGACGCCGAGCAGAATCGGTTATTTAGGCGTGGGTATTTGCGTGATCAAGATGGATGTCGGATGTACGAAGTTAATGAATCCTGGAGCTTATATTGTCTATTCAATGGAACTAGGGCTTATTTACGAGCACTTGCATCGGAAATGCTGAGAGCAGTTACTGTTCGGGAACTAGCTGTTGGTTCCGTACTCCTTTTTATGCACGGCTTTAAGTTAATGTTATATGGTCGACTGAACTCGAAGATGTGCTATGTGCGTTTCTCGGGGCGGCTTGATGTTTGCTACTTGTTGATGGACCACATGCTGCTGTGAATTTTTTGGGATGATGTGGTGTCAATATACACGATGAAGCGCTCTTCCTGTTATTCACCGTGCGATTAAGCTCTGCTATTTTGGTAGCATGCGACAATCGCATTAAATCAGATCTCCTTGTATGATTGTTTTGTGTCTACTCCGTACAGGCGTCCTACCCAATCAAAATACCGATAAACAACAGTACTACTTCTTCAGTACCTAACGTACACGTAAAGTAATACGACCATTACTGGGACCGCCTGCTGGGGACCTGCTTCTACGTGGTTATTCTCTTAATGGATTTCACTCACACTTCCATGCCCATCTGGCCGTGTGCCGGTGTGGCTTTTAAAGCAGGTATCAAAGTGTGGCGGGCGATAAAAACACCAGATGATATCACTTTACTACATGCCAATATGGATAAGGTAAGATCCTAGTCAATTCAGAATCTATTTCGATTCAATGTGGACAAATGTAGAGTGCTGCACATACGGAACCTGGTGATTTGCTCCCACAAACAAGGCTACCAAGAGGTTCAGACATCATTTGGTCAGGAGGATCACAGAGGTTAGGGAAAGGTCGACCTTGGATGTTCGAATCAGGCTGAAACAGAGTCAAGAAGGGGCATCCAACACGTGAGCCTCCTGAATTCTACATCCGGTCGATTCAGCCCAAGGATAAACACAAGGGTCTGGTCAACTCCTAAAATGTGCTCCATCATTTTCAACACCTTATCTTGTTCACCAGAATGAGATAAGATCTGTTACCAGCGTCTCATTTGTCGTCATTCCCAATGGATTATATTGGACAGTTTATATTACCTAGACTTCAGTGAGTCCACTGGTGAAAATCTAATTGTGCTGATACTTCTAGATTTTAAACTTTCACCTTGACCGAATCCTACGAGACATGTTAATGTTTAGCTATTTACCCATGCAAGACGATTGTTCCATTTTCCATTGCGCATTGATCCATATGGAGTATGTGGTGTCTGTCAAATGTTTTTCTCTTAATGTGTACAATACGAACCCTGTGACAAATTAATCTATTGATACAGAATTTGGCAACGTCTTAATAAGGGAAACTCTCATTTGGAGCAATATTTCCAGCAAGTAATGTTTTCTGGTTCCAATTACACGCCATAAAAATTGGAAGCATATACGAAACGCCATGCTGTTGTCTATGGCAGTGCAACGACCACTGTTTCCCTTACAACTCATTGACAAAGGCACGCTGCAGAGCTGCATAAGCATCTAATAACCCATCGGTATACAGTGCGCGAAATGAAATGGCTACTTATCATACATGAGCGTTTTCAATGGCGCAGCAGGCAAGTGATAAATGTTGGACTTTTGTTTATCGCAACTTTTATGCGCAGCTTCCTGAATTATCAGGCTATTATATCGTCTTTAAATCAGCTTAAATTATAAGACCGATTGCTAAAGTGGTTTATTCTTTCCTTCTATGCAGATGGCCTATGACTACCGGAAGCCTACGGTAAACATAATGCCGGAATAAGCGTGCATTGTTCAACTTAAAAGGTGTACTTCTTTTATCGATCGCCTGAGATCTGTTTGTGCTGCCACAGAAAGAAATTAGCCTACCTAAATTTTGTTCTTGCGCGTATAATGGCACAATGTTAGGCCAGTTATTGCATATAAATTAGTGTCCATAAATACAATAATAACACTGCTTCGTTTTTGAGATTCTTAGAGGATAAGGGCCTGGCCATCCCAACTGTAGTTGATACATTAGCCGAAAGACTAGATAGAGATTCGGTATAGAAGTCTTAGCAGGATAGTGGTATCTATATACATGTAGTCAATCAGTGGACCGTGTATTCATACAATAAACAGTAACGCGTAGTTCCTTGGTGAGAACTAGTCTGATAAAATTTAAACAAAGAAATTTGCATATTTAAAATGAATTAAGTGAGTCATTCTTGCTAAAATTACCGGAAAATGATAGCTCTTCGATCCCAAATGTTGTGATAAATTTTACAAGTGTTCACCTTGATACCGAAACTTAACACAACAATAGGGACGTAAATGACGAAGTAAAGATTACACAGCTGATCAAACGAGTATGATGATCCACTTCGCTGCGCGGCTGTTGAGTGTACAAATGGCCGGGTAACGAGGAAGCTTTACGACTGAGGGTGGATCGCTGTAGGACAGAAAAAAAGAAGTCGCGTTGTGAGTTACAAACTTTTCACTGTCGGCAAACTCGTCTTTATCTGGTCAGCAAACGAAACAATTTACAACTCTACATGATTGATCCACTTCCAGTCCCACATACTGTTAATCCCTTCAACTCTTTCATTTTTCCGGGCCCCTTTCTACCACTGACGTAGTACAGTGAGCAATTGTGCAATTGTGAACTAATTTCAGTCGAGAAACAGCGTAAAAGTACAAGTAATAATGGTAAAAAAGTGAATTGCCGCAGTATTAAGCGTTAGATATGTTGCCACCAATCTGCTTCACTGCGTCCCGATAAGTCCGTTTGAGAATAAAAGCCTGTTCGCTAAAATGTCGAATTTCAATAAAAAAGCTGATGCCAATGGTCGTGGGTTCAAATCCTGCTGTCTCCACTTGATGCGATGAAATTACATCGAAACGCGTCATGGCTGTGCAGTGCTTTCGGTTGGGCAATACCCAATTTCCATCTACTTTGAATACGGTCCCCGTGATCGCAGTGACTAAGGTTCATTTCAATGTGAATCACAGTCCATTACATTGAGGTTGCGTGTCGCAATCCAATCACACAACGTGTAATCCAAACTTGACCCTCCAATTAGTCATCTACCGTTGTGACAAAAAGCATTGCCCATCGTGACCCGGTAGCCAAAGGGGTAGTAATGTTGGCTGCTATTCCAATGGTCGTGGGTTCAAATCCTGCTGTCTCCACCTGATGAGATGAAATTACATCGAAACGCGTCGTGGCTGTGCAGTGTTTTCGGGTGGGCAATACCCAATTTCCATCTAAGCTGGTGTCATTGTTTGCAAAATGAGCATAATATTTCAAATAGTCAAAACGTTGTCACTATGTTTATTATGAAAGAATATTTAAACGGTACAGTTTGTTCCGAGTCAACTGACCTAGATATGGTGCACCTAATTGGTGTCAGTAGTGGGGATCGGCTCAAACAAACGTGGTTACAAGCGGAAATACGTTTGACTAGTCAGTGACACACTTCTGACCAGTGCCTTTAATAAGCAATTTAAACACGAAAGACAGCTCCGGTTAACACCTTAGCCATGCTGGCTTTCTTTGCCGAAACACATGAAATGGAAGTAACCAGTTGTGCAGTAAAATGCTTCGAGTGATGGATGTATACTTAATTAAGATGTTTCAGTTCACAACCACTTTGTACACGTGTGTGTCACGCGTTAATCGTGACTTTTGAAGCCACAGTGTAAGATTACAAAGTGTTGACGGCGCACCTGTGTGGTATTAAACTTATGTACTGTTTTCCTAATGACAATATGACCTCAGTGAGAGACTTATGCATGAAGTTTCTGCGATTGCTCTTCTGGAAACATTGTACACTGCAAATACAATTAAAAGCAGTTTGAGTCATTTTTATAGTTCATTCGCTTTTTGCACAACATTATTGGTTTAAAAAGAGTCGACGTTTGGGGTTTAGGTTGTACAGAAGTTCAGAATAACAATTGTATGACGCTGAATTTCAAAAGAGAATTTGCTACGTTAAAACATCTGAGCATGCATTCGTTACCTTGTGATCACGTTAATGTTCAACTTAAGCTAACGCTATAAATCGAAACCATAATTAACCGCTACTTCCAAACAGGAACAACTCACACTGTGTGTATCAAATCGGCCAGAGTCAGAAAGGACTGCGCGCCTCAGTTGTAATCCGGTTGGAAACCGTGTACGTGAGGGTAACGTTGCGGTACACCCAGCCTTTGTGTGTGTGTTGGTCGCGTGGCAGGCAGGCGTCGGTACGGTGTGTCGGCGTACTAGGGCTGCCTCAATATTTCATTTTGGAACATTTCCTATACGACTTCAGAGCTACTTTCAACATTCTAACCTCCCGAATAAAAGGATGTCGAATTGGCCACTGGTTGCTCGTAAGGTAAAAACCTACGGATCATCAATCGACGGGTGGACTTAATATTAACTTCTAAGACTAGCTTGTTTTATCCTTTGTTTTAATAAGACTTTTGCAATCGATCAGATGAAGCTAGTTAGACAAGTCAGAAAACAACTGTTTGCCACATTAAGTTACCATAGTTAATTCTGCCAGTTGTTGGCGTACATACCTATAAATAAGTTATTGTTGTGGGAAAGCGCGAAATCCACGTATATACTAGCTTTCGTCTCCTTGCCTTGTGTCTTTAATTAGATGTCGGTTCATGACTTTTACGGTTAGGTATATGATCGACCGCTACAAAGAAACTTCAGTAAGTGTACCGCAACTCACATAAATTTTAATCTCACAACAGAGGCGCAGAGCTTTAGCTAACAGTCATCAGTGGCTTGAGATACTGGAGGTATCAACAACAAAGTAACAATGCTCAGATTATAACTGGCTTTACTGAAACGAAGTAGGTAGACTTCAAGTAAAATAACTATGTAAAAATGAATGGAACAGATATGCCAAAGCTAGTCTAGATAACCAGCACATGCTTGAAACTGACCTTAGAAAGGGTTGTCTACGAATTTCTCTATAGAGGACCAAGTGAAACAACAAACACACCAGATCACATGAGAAGACAAAATCAATCAGTTGGGTGTTTTAATCCGCACTCTATCGATGTGAGATCACAAGGTACAGGTGACAATCCGTTATTGTATTCAACAAGCCCGGAGACTTTAAGATGCACAGAAACTTGAAGCACACAGCATTCACACCAAACTGCGGATGATACATTAATGCTGACTATTTTGAGGGAATGCACATAATCTAACGCTTCTCAGTAAGAGCTTGCTGGAAAACTTCCACGGAACATACTAGATCATTAATGGGGGTCCGCATTGCACTTATTTCAAAGCAAACAGCGATTTCATCGTTACATTCTGACAACAGGAAATTAGCTAGAATGGTTCTACCGTATTTCACCAACTCTAAAATCATAACGAATCAAGCAACCGCAAATGTTTTCTTTCAACCTCAATTGTCACAAAGCTAGAAAGTGTCACTCCATTGTCTGTATTGAGATAGGCGGACAAGTAATGATATGCAGAGCTGGCTTCCTGTTTTGGTTTTCCGTATCCACTTAGAACTTGTTATTCGAACTCTCTGCTACGGTCAATAAACGCCGGTGTCAGTCATAACTCACCATCCTACAGCCGAACCCGTGGGAATAGCAGCTTAATCGTATGCTATCACAGAAAGCGAGAAGGAGTAGATGTTTGAATTCGAACGCAACTCTTGAAAGAAAATCGAACAAGTGGTCATTGCGACGTACAAGGCTGTTCGCTATGGACTGGGACGTTAACCTGCTAGTAGTACTGGTTTATGAGTAACGCGCATTGCTGAAGAACCCAAGCTATGAGATAAGGGTACTGAATACTATGTCCTAGGACATAGAACGAAACTTCAGCACCAATTGAGCACGTCGTCGACATTTTAAGCTTGGACTTCTCAAATGCTCACCGAATGGATTAATAATAAGTCATCCCCAGGTTGATTTCCTGCATCCGCATTTCTTGGTAATGGTGTGCCCACCATCTACTAACCCGATGGCTTTATATAACAGTTTGGCGGTTATCCTCCTTAAAGTGATAGGAACTGAGGAACGGCCATCACGTTAGTATAAGGTGTATCCGAGTCACGTGTTATTGATCAGGAAACTGACGACGGTGACGATTTGCTTTCAAGGTGTGACCCTTATGCACAGGTGATCACAAACACTCAGTTCCTCGTAGACGTCAATCCGAAGATTAGGTAAACGCATCTGTGGAGTGTTCATGCTTCTTTGTTTGACCATTTCTTCGCGCACCATCTTTAGGTAAGCAGGGTGCGCATGACATGTGTACTGCGGGGATTTGATTGAGGAGTTAGTTAAACGATGAAGTTCGTAAAATTCTATATTTTCCGTAACGCAGAACTGCCACAAATTCTATATTGACACACCATGGTGGTATCATCTTTGCTGCTTTAAATTTTGTTTTGCTGTTTAATTTTATGGAGCAGGCAGCAGTTGCTGCTGGGGAAAATAGCATGTGTGGATTGACTAAGCGGCTGTGTTGCCTTGATAAAAAAACCTAATCAGTCACGCACTCCTCTCAGGAAGAAACGCAACGCTTGTTGTATATGAAATGAGCTCAGCAGCGACCAGGGGCGAAAAGAATAAAGCATACGCGATGTAACACAAAGTTACCGGTCCGAATCCGGCCAGGTGTAGGCAACCTCGCAGTATTCTTAACCCGAGAGCGAATGGTGGTTGTCGCATCGCAGCGAACTGGGGGCTTACTGAACAGGCGTACTACTGGTGCCCGAAGTGCTAGCCGATACAGAGAGAAAGGATAAGTTCCGAAATTGTTATCTGGTGGTGAGTAAAGAACCCTATGGCATGGAAAATACATACGTAGTGGTGACATTTTAGTGGTTGGAATGCCACTATGAACGCTACTAACAATAACAGTTCTGTCGCTCACTAGCGGTGACAGGCATATCTAGATTGCAACTACTGCATGCAGTCCACTGGTAAAACCTCGCTGCGCTGCTGTCACTTTATCAGCTTTTCAAACAACCATCCGTTGTTGAGTGTACCATGCTTCTTTTGCTGAAACGGGAATTTCATTGATTACTGAAGGGCAAGCCAAGCCAAGTTAAGCGCAGAATACAAGTAGTTTGATGTAAAGTGCTAAGCTTGCCGCTACTGATGGATCGTCACTAGAATAACTAGAGAATGGCAAATCTGTAACTGCCCAAGCGTTCACTTACGTGTTTGTAGGCTGTTGGATGGAGCAGTAAGTGGTAAATAAACTGACTGATTACCTTGCGCTGCCATTGCTTAGAAGCAAGGTGAGCCAGGCATGCGAAGCGATTAGTTTTACATCAGATTAGCAAGTGAATAGGAGAGGTGACTGAATATATATTGATCAACCGACTGGTCATACCATTTATCTTGTCTTGAACAAAGGAAGAATTATACGGATTTCCCTCAAGCAGCAGCAGGATTAACTTGTGGATAAAT